CCCCAAAACCCCAAAACCCCGAAAAGACTTAAATAGTGATATTTGGAGAATTATTAAAATATATCAAAATATGAAAAGCAGTAAGTATTTTAACAAATGGCTAATAAGTTTAGGTGAAATTCAAAATTTCGATATGGAAACATCTGTCAGGACAATTGTTCAGGATTTTCTAGAACCAATGATGGAGAAGGCTAATGACAATTACAATGATGTCAAGGAACTCAAAATGAGAAGTGATTTTTTAACAAAAAAATTTGAGGAACTTGATAGAAACATAAAAATTGACTTAAATTTGAGAGGAACACTAGCTGACCTCAAGAAAAGGGTTCATACAATGGTATCTCTATACAAAATATAAATTAATTTAGGATGTTGATGCAAGTTAAAACTATACTTATTTGAGAGCTTAAGTTGAGTAAATCTAGAATTATCAGAGTGCATAAAATGAAAAGTTCAATGCACTATCAAAAGAAAAGAACATCTTCGTAACAGTTAAAGACTCACTTCAGAATGAAATCAGAGGATTTGAGAAGCTGTTGGATAATTACAAGAGCATTTTACATGATGATATCGTTCATGTTCAATCAAGCTTCAATAATAAGTTATAAGATCTTGGCAAAAATATTGGGATGGTAGAAGGAGAATTCAGTTCGGTAAGAACATTAGTTAAAAGATAAATGGAAGAATTTACTTAAGTCTATTATCAACTTGAGATTAGTAAGCTTGATATAGAAAGAATTGACCATAAAATAGACAATTTGCCAATTTTTAAGGATTTAGAAGATACAGATAATTACATCAACAGATATATGCCTTTCAAAATCCAAAACATGATAGACGAGACTTTATTCAATTGCCTGGGTTCAGCTGAATTGAAAAAGTTATTAAAATTTGAAGATAGGATTTTTAAAAGCTTATCAGCTAACATTGATAGTATAAATAACAGACTGATTAAAGATGCTTATGAAGTGCCATAGCCAGAACATAGAAAATCTTATCTCAGAAAAAGAGATTCTAGTAAGTTAAGCATGCTTAGCAAGGAATTAAGAAGCAGCTAGGACGTTACATTGAAAGGATAAAGTAATTATGACAGAGAGCAGAGTTTGTTCAAATCTAGGAAAGAATTGTCTAGACCTTCCTAGGATTAATAAGACTTCAATAGTTCTTCATATATTAAATTGGTATAAAAAGAAAATGACTAGAATGCATAATCTTAGCCAAGAGAACCTACGTTTTAGCAAACAAATTTTAATAACGAGGTAAAAGGTTAGAAAACAATGGATATGACAGCAACAGAATAGCGATTCAATTTTTAGAGCAATCAGCAATTAAATAATATTCAAGAGCAATCTTTTGCTTAAGAAGCCGATGATTACCGCAATGATCGGAGTTAGTTAATGAGCATGACCTCTAAAAGAGATCATAGCAACACATCAAAGTAATTTGATAAGAGTAACAATAGTGGAAGCCCACAAAGAGTTTATCTAAATAATTAAAATAAAAATCAAGGTAGATAGTAATTGAAACCTGTCCCAACTTAGCCAAAGTAAACAGGTGTAATAGTAATGTAGAAATTTGATAAATAAGTTGAAGGAGAGGAAGTTTCTCCTGAGCAAATGGAAATGCTAAATAAAATTAGAAACTAAAATGAGTTTTCAAGTAGCCGATACAGTTAGAAAGAATAATAGGAAGAAATTTCTCAAAAGAAAAATAGGTTTTAAGATGATAATTTAGGGAAAAGCCCTAAAAGTTTAAGTTAAGAATCCAAATAATAAATATCAAACAATATGAGAGCTTAAAGACAAAGCAATATTTTGCAGACTTAAAATATCTAGGGGTTATAGCCAAACTCAAAAGAAAGATCTACAAATTCATATTCTCAAGGTAAAAAGCTGCAAGAAGATATTTAATTTTCTTAAAAAACATCTGATAGCTTTTATAAAAGAACAGAAACTTAAGGGCCACCATAAATTTCAGCAAATAATTAGACTAGCAAATTAGAATTCCCTTAGAATCAGAAGCATAATTCATTTCCAAGCTAATAACAGTAATAATAGTATGATACAAAAGCGTATAATGAAGGCACAAACTAAAACAATAATTAGGTAATGTCTAAATATAAGACGATGAGATCTCCAAATGCGAAAGAGTAATATTATTAAAGAGAGAGGGAAAACAAGGAACTCACTAGAGTTAATGAGGAGCCTTCAGTCAGTGAATAAGGAGATGATTTCAGAGATGCAAATAATGACGACTCTGAATTCTTAAGTGAGCCTGAATAAAAGCTGTCATAAAAACTACCTTAATAAAAATAAGATCAAATTCAATAAAAATAATAATAATAGCAATAATAAAGGGCAAAGCCTGCTTAACAAAATCAAAGATAAACATAAAAGGTTAAAGATGAATCATCTAATTCTAAATCATTTTATGATTCTAATTTAACGAACTAAGTTAAGTCCTCATCAATATAAAAAGGTTAATTCAAGTAAAATTCAATTTAGCAGCCTGAGAAATAAGACAAAGTAAGCAAAAGAAATATAAGTGACAATCGTAGCAAAAGAAATACAAGCAAAGATTAAAAAGCATAAAACCTAGATTTATAAAATGTAAAAATTGAGAAAAGTTCTATTAAAAATATACTAGATACACCTGAAAGCTCTTAGCTCTCAAAGATGTAGATAGAGAGTCCAGCTTTAGACTAGATGAAGACATTTAAGGGGGATCATAGAAACCATATGAATAAGACATAAGTATTAGTAGATAGTAAAAATTAAACTTAAATAAGCTTCAAAGCTCAAATAAGACAATAAGAGTCCGATGGAGATGATAGATAAGAAGAAAATAATGATCTTACATCAGTCAATAGTCCACCACCAGAAATTTAAGAAAATATTTCTCATAGCAAATAAAGAATGCAAGATATCCCTTAATAAGTCCCTATGAGATAGAAATCAAAATAATAGAATTAATAAGATTAAACGAGATAGAATAACATTATACAAGAGAAAAACATAGGTAAATAAACAGGAAAATCACCCAAAGATAAGTAGCAAAATAAAAAATAAGCATACAATAATAGTGTCAAAGAAAATGAATAAATGATTTAAAAACAAATATCTGAATAGAATTAAAAGAAATTTTAATAATAAGATGAGGATGATCCTGAAAGTGACAAAAATATGATTAAGATTTAGGATAACACTGGAAAGCAATCTCAATTATAAATTGAAAATACTATAGAAAGTTTAAATGAGCCAATGAGTCATTAAAGCAGAAAAAGTAACAGAAATCATGAGATGATTATGGAGCAAATGGAAATGATGAGTTAAAAGCGATCAGAAATGAGATCGAACCACAATGGCTAAGAAAAAGAAGAATAAAGATTGAATCTAAATTTATCTCCTGTTAGACAAGGATCTTTAAGAAGGCAATCAAAAGCAGCAGATGATTTAATGATGAATATGGATTACAAGACATTTGCAGAGAGATAACAAATCAATGATAGTTTGGCTGCTTTGACTTAAAGAATCACCTAATTATAAAACAGTCAAACTCACACAGTAAGTTAGACAGACACTCTAAACACGGTTGATATTTTCAAGAATATTCAGGAGCAAATTTAAAGTCTTCATGAAAAGGTACTTCATATGTAGCAATCAATGGTAATATTCAAGAATGACATGATGCACGATTAAGACAACTATATAGCTTTGTATAATAAAAGATTTTTTTCTTAATAATTTTTAGAGTGTAAAATAAGTTCAGAATAGAGAAAAATGAAGCTCATGATAAACTAGAAGAACTTAAAGCGGAATTCAAAGAGGAAATCAAAAGAAGAAAAAGAGAAAAAGGAGAAATTGTAATTTAAAGCATACTTATATGTTTAGATGTCTGAATTCAATATGGTACTTAAGAAATTTGAGAAAGGCAAAGAAAGTATAGATAAATCATTGAAATAGAATGCCTTAGTTTAAAAAATGATATAAGCTATCATTAAGTGTCTCAAGATATAGCAGTCCTTAGATTTGCAAGACGACTTAGACAAGGAGTAAGAATATTTAGATATTTACAAACTAATGATTCTTAGATCTATATTTTTGATGGGATGTAGAGATGTAGATCCAGAAAAGAAGTAAATGATTTAAGACCCATCTATTAACTTATCTTAAAAACTTCCACTTATCTCCTCCTCAAATGCTGCGAGTCAAAGTAAATTATGCTTATTGCTTACATTTGAATAGAGAAACTTAATAAATTCAGCTTTCACAGTTAGCCTAATAGTCCAAAGTAATAGGTTGTTAGTTTGGATAAGAACTGTCTAACTTGTAGTCAAGGAGGAATCCCTATGGCTTTAAGTGCATTCAAAATTGCTTGCATAACATATATGCCATCTCTTGTTAATTATGAAAATGCTTATGTAAGGATTCTTAATTTTGAATGAGAGTGTTTAAAATTACCTTCAATTTATTTTGATAATTTTTCTGAGTTAAATTTATGTTTATAGTTAGGAAGGAGATAACTTATAGAGATAAAGGGATACTTGATAGACATTTGTGAGGAAAATCAAGTTACTTTTGATCCAGTTTCCCTTGAGAACGGAATGAGAGAAGTCATCATATAGATAGCTTAATTGCAAACTAAACCATTGAGTAAAACTTTAATTCTTCCACACCCAAGAAGAGTTACTCACGCGGCTCAACATTAGGTACTATAGTCGGAGATTAGTGGATATGATCATAATAACTCTTCAATGATTGGATATTCAAGAAGTAAAGAATTAAAACAGAAACTCAGAAATGAATTAGATCTCAATCATATGGATAGTGTCTATGATACCAAGACACGATAATACTCAAGAAGGGGTGCTGGTGCATCATAGTAATATAGAATAGAAAATAACAGTTCATTTGATCCTTTAAATAGATCATCAGTTGATGAACCTAATCTTAAAATAGATGGAAATAATTGTCTTCTTAATTCCACTGATGAAGATCTCAGACAAATAATTAAATCACAGGCAGTTTCTCCAACAAATAAAGTTCTAGGGAATAATAAAAGCGGTAATGGAGGTGGAATAGGAAACATGAGTGATTTCTAGCCAGAAAAATTAAGTGTCAAATCTTAGAGATAAAGTCTCGGAAGCAAAGAATTAAATAGGATAAAAGTTTATCAAAGACAATCTAACAAGGATTCTACTCAAGTCTTAATTTAAGATTAGTCTTGATTATTATAAGTTATACTTTATTTCATAACAATTCAAATCGAGCACCTATGGGGTTTTGGGGTTTTGGGGTTTTGGGG